AGTTTAGATAGTAAAGGCCTGATTCAGGGCTTAAATTGAAGCTTAATCTACAATAGCAAGTCAATATTGTAATGTATATAAGCTGTTTACATTAATATAAAAATAAGCAGTTACTACAAGGAAATTAAATACATATTCCTAGAATGGATCAAAACAAGGAGAGAAATTCAAATGGCTGTCTATCAGCCAGAGAGCAGTAGGTCTGCATTGGCTACATTTCTTAATCACCAAGCGTATTGCATGTTTTGGTGCTTTGGTCTGTTTTAAATAAACAGAAGGATATTTCTATAATAACATGGAAACTGAACTTGAATGTCAAAACAGGTGTGAAAACAAAGTGTGTTTAATGTATAACATTATTTATTTTGTAATGTTTGCTAAATAACAATTGTTAAAAGGATAAACAGCACACGATCACAAAAGAATCCACCCTTAATATTTGGAAAGCAAAGCAAAGAATATGTAACTCATGGAAATAATGATCATTAAAATAGTAACTTCACAAACAGCTTAATTCACCATTCTCCCATGGTGACCAACATCTAGATTAGCGCAAAAAAATATTTTCACAATAATTTAAATTACAACCATGAAGTTTTAATAATAGAAAACAGGAGGGAAATGTGATAAACAATGTGTGAATCCAGATGATATCCAAATTAAATTATGCCTTAGAAAATCAGACACATAGGTCATATGTCTACCAGACGTGTGCAGTTTTAATCCAGAAATATACTGTAATGCGAGCTGCGTCCTGATTCTGATCCCTGGGACTTAAGCGGTGATCCAGTTGACTGTAATTCTCTGCCCTAGCTGACAGTTGTGAACAATCCTGACGTGCAAGCAGCTGTCCTACGATATTCCTAACTCCATTGACAAGATGTACTCTATACTGTAACTTCGTTTCTTGTACACCTTTCATGTGCTGTTGCTCATCTATTTTCTTGGCAGTGTCAGATTTGCATAATCTGCATAATGTTTCTCCTGGTCTATGCTGTGGGGGACAGGTTTCTGGAGGTTGGTAGGTGGTTGGTAATTAAGATTTATAGCTCACGTTTTGTGGATCTCAAAATGGGTTTCCATTTCCTAACGTTTTACTCCTAGCAAAAAAAAAAACCATGGAGATATATGAATTGCTTTTGGCCTCAAGCAAAGTGTGCCACAATTCTGCTCAGTATTAAACGTGTGGCCGTCTCTGCAACTATGTGCATCAGCCAATCTGTGCCAGTTCTCACTATGTAACATCCTGACCATTAAGAGAACCCAAGGGACTGACTTTATAGACAAACTATTAAAACAAAGAGGCATTTAGGCAAGTCAGGCTTTTTAGCATACCATGCATATGGTTTCCATTATCTCTGAAGGAGACCCGTTGGAACTGTAAACTGAATTCATAAGGGTCTTAACATGCTCAACATTCCTGCCTCGCAGAGGTTTGTGAAGGTTTTCATTTTCCTCATATTGCAGATTCAGCAGTTTATGTACTTATCTATCATTTATGTGTCTTGCATGTCTTTTTAACACAGTTTATTATTGTGCTAATCTACTCGAGTAAACTCTTCAACTATCATTCAGATAATAGTTTAAAATCATGTATGATTACGTGAGCAATCTACAGTGCATTTTAGCCAAGCAAAAAAAAAAACAAAACACCAAACAGTGATACTAATTGACAAGGAGGTTTTCAAAAATGATTTGTGCCCAACACATGCATGCTTCAAGATACATTTTTTATCAGCTCTACAACCATTGTATATTTCAATATTGTCATATCCAGGTAACACCAGCCATGTTGTACCAGCCTGATTACATCTGCTCATTATGCACGAGATAAGCACAGAGAAAATGACAGGTACACAGTGCCGTCTTCTCTATCATTCTTCAGTGTATACAGTGTATTTGCTGCTGCTGGATTTTTTTCGAGAGTGAAAGGTCAATTCACCTCAAATGAGACAGTAACTCAATCGGGGTCTAATGATACAAGACGTCTATTTAATTCGCATAAACAGTTCAAAATGGAGAACAGGCTGCATGCGAAACAGCATTTTGCTATGTTTTGGTCCGTTGCTAAGACCTTGTCAGTGCTGAAAAAAACATTCTCCTAAAAATACACCATTTTTTAGATATTTTATTTAAAGGAGACCAATTAGATGGTTTGCAATTATATACTGTAGTAGCCCTTGCACAAACTGGTCTGAAAAGCGATCTTTACATAAGAGTAAGCTATAAGTTTGCTCATGTAAATATCTGAAGCACAGCAGTGGATCAGCCATGTGACTACAGGTTTTAATGACTTCACCCTGCGGTGTTTAGTTTTTAAAAAAACACTGAAGGCACTCTGTCATATTTCCTTTTAAAATTTGTAATCTGTGCCTCCAGGGACAGATTTGTATATGATGTGCAAGATGTGTTGCTTTTTTTAAAGGCTGCAACAACATTGAAATATTGCTGGAAAATGACTTTCTTTTGTTGCCCTACAATCTAAAGTCATGTGAGAGACCGGTGATGTATTTGTATTTGTATAATTTATTTTTGCAGGAGCAACATTTCGGCAGAGAATCTTGGGCTCTCCAAGTAACACTGTTTAAAGGCAACATGAAAAAATAGAACAAATTGTATGTTTCATTATTTGAAGTGCTTTGTATGTTCACGTTTTCCCTAGCATCTGTCCATTTACTTATTCCTCTCCATTCTGCATGTCTAGTCTGATACTGTGCTCCAGTCTTTAAGGACCTGACACTATGTTCTGTTGCATCGGCGCTCTGAGGCTTTCAGCCTCCCTGCTTGGTCAGATGGTAATAGACCAGGCTGTCTTTAACAATGGCAGGAAGGTCTTTCATACCACGTAGAACTGCTCACTCCATCGTCCTTCACATCTCCTAAAGGAAGCTCATCATTTGCTGGAAAACCCTGGCTAACAGTCGTGACCATCACTCATGCTAACCAAAGCGTGACTCCACTTTGCTCAGGCTCAGATGGAGACTGC